TTGATGGTAGTTTAGTAATAATTGTCAGACAATAATATGTCTCACCAAATAGGTAAATGTTGGCATCCATGTTTCTGTTTTACAGCAAGTTCAAAATCTTGTGGTAAGTACTTTGCCAGTCATTGCAATTTTTGGAGTTAACGCAGAATTATAATTTAGCTGATTTAGTCCTGTATTTAAATGTGGTTGTCACTCCTAAAACTTGTACGTATTCTACGTGTGTATGGTCTTTTTTTATTATTGTGTATGTATCTGTATTTGTGTATGGGGGTGGATTGTGCCCACATTTAAATTCTATATTAATGCACCAAGTTGCTTGGTGACTGTAAACAGTGTATAGTTAGACCATTTAACTATACTATTTATCATTTTATAAAAGTAATATGCCTCTCACGGCATGATGTTACAGATGATTTTACCACAATTATACACTAAATATTACATTATAATCAAGCAATATTTGCTTTTCCCTCTCTTTTTCCTCTGCAGTCTATTGCTGTGCACCTGTCTCCCTGCGCTCTGGACGCCGGTGAACTGTCCATCCTTTCTCCACCTTTTCCTCCTTTTATTCACCTTCTTCTGCCTGATGGGTTTCTATACACTTGCTTCTGTCTTCCACACTGTTCTTGTTGCTCCCCCTATGCTTTGATTCCTAAAGCTTAAAGCAAGCCAAGACATGGCTCAAGAACTTTATTTCTATGTAAATATGCGCCTTTTTCTATTGCATTTGCTTAGCTTGAGAAGTCAGATGAAGGAATGGAACCGGACAGCATGGTCAGAGTTACGTAGGCATCAGTCCTGGAGCACTGCTCTTTATTTACATTCATTTAAATATGAATAAAGATAGATAGTTCACCCAAAAATGAACATTACCCCATGATTTACTTACAAACGGATTTATATAAAAAATATCCTGGCTCTTCCAAACTTTATAATGCCAGTGAAAAGTGGTCAAGATTTTGAAGCAAAATAAAGTGCATAAACTACTCCACACGGCTCCGGGGGGTAAATAAATCCTTTTGAAAGAAATTGATGCATTTGTGTAAGATTAATAGCCATATTTAAAGCCTTATAAACTGTAATCTCTAGCTTCCGCTAACTGTCGTACGCGCATTCACGAGAGTGGTTTTCCTTTGCTTGAAACAAAACTTGGTTTTCGTGAGACTAGCATATACGTCCTATGTCATCTGCTGGAATGCCACTCTCCCCTGAACGTGCATATGACAGTTAGCGGCAGCTATAGATTACGGTTTATAAGGTTTTAAATATGGTTTTTATTCTTACACAAACGCATCAATTCACTTCAGGAGGCCTTTATTAACCCCCCCGAATCCGTGTGGAGCACCTTTTATGATGGATTTATGCTCTTTATTTTGTTTCAAAATCTTGACCAGTATTCACTGCTATTTTAAAGCTTGGAAGAGCCAGGACATTTTTAAATATAACTCCTATTGTATTAGTCTGAAAGAAGAAAGTCATAAACACCTAGGATGGCTTGAGGGTGAGTAAATCATGGGTTAATCTTCATTTTTGGGTGAACTATCCCTTTAAAGGCAGAGTAAGTGATTTCTGGTAGCCAATGTTGATATTTGAAATCACCAAAACAAACACGGCCCTACCCCGAGCTTAAACTGATGTTCGGAAATGGTTTGAGGGATGTTAAAGCATGTGATGTAATGTTCACAAGTCAATGACAGTTATCAAATGTCATGCGCACAGGTTTTAATGCTGCATGCTGATTTCTGTTTTGTTTAAGACAACATATATACCACCATGTTTAGAATTATATTTATGACTAGGCAAACCACAGATTTATGAAGGGAAACATGAACACAATCAAGAAAAATAATGTCTTTGTTTACACTCAACTTTGAATTAGCATGAATGAAGTGCTAATTGCTGTATTACCGTATTGTCCCGAATATAAGACGATGTTTTTTTCTTGGAAATACATCTGAAAAAACGCGGTCGTCTTATATTCAGGGTCTAGACTTTGACATGTCAATAATACACCCACAACAATAGGTGGCGCCAAAACCGCATAAAACGAGTGTGCCATGAAATACGTAATGTAATGCGTGTTGTAAAGATCGCGAATAAAAACAAACCTTACAGCTGCATGAGTCGTGACTGTCACGATTTGCCCCCAAGTGTAAGTGACAACTTTTTCAGATTCTGTGCATTTTATGTTTGTCTTTAAGGGTCTGTGTGACTTATTCTTATTAAATTATTTGAGGAGATGTGTCTGCACTTCAAAGTTTATTTTTTATTTTGATTACAATTAGCATCTCTTGTGATTTTAGCTGTGTTGATTACACATACAGTAGAGGTTGTTATCCCATTTCATACAGGATTAGTCAGGAGTTTTAAGCGTTAAAATGATTTTGATATTTTGTGGGAAAGCATAAAATGTCAGGGTCCTTTTAATACCTTTTAAAGGTGAAAATTGAAAAGTAAATTGTTTGGCATACTATTTTATTATTATTACTTAGGGAAAAAACAGTAAAGAGGTTTTGTTAAAATATTATTAACATCTGAAAACCTTTGTCTCCTAAATCAAAGTTATGTGACGCAACCAACAAAGTTGGTTTATTGGTATCATAGGTATTAATGAATCACTGCTTGTTAGCTGATCAAAAAAAAATGTTGTATGCTCAGTCTGAATATTGTAGATTTTTAAGAAATTTTCTTACAGTGTGGTCAGTGTGAGTCCTCACAGCTTGACATTACATAACTACAGTTTATAATAAGCCACTTAGGGGTGTGCGATATATATCGTCTGCGATAATATCGCAATTGTTGTTTTAACGATGTGCAATTTGACATTATCGAGTATTTTGCAACAACCATTCAAAACATCCCTACAGAGCACACGCATACATTACGTGAAGTCTAGACTAGTGCGTGTGCGCATTTAGTGTGTTTTCTTTCACTGCATGATTCAGTCTATTAAAATGCATTAAGAAAGATCACAAAATTCAAGATATGGGGGCAGAAAATGTACATATTTATATCATTTCATATAGTTAAAATCACTCGAAGAGTGCCGTTTTTTTTCTTCAAAAATAAGCATGATTACAAATGCATAAAATATCGAGATATAATTTTTTGTCAATATCGCACACCCCTAAAGCCACTACTTACCACTATGTGCTATTCATTTCTTAGGTATTTTTAATAAAGTGCTACTTATGGCTCCTGTGGCAAGTATGCATCTAATGTCAGATTGTGCTGGAAATAAACCAAAGATTGAGTTCAGCGGAACACCACAATTGTGCAATGATTTGTCACCTGGGAAGATCTCCTTGTGTGGTTTGCCACAAAGTAAGGTGGATTGTTTCATTTTGCATGTTGGTCTGTTGTTGATCTTTGCACGGGTGTATATGTAATCAAGATGTCAATAATATCAGACTTAGTAGTGCGGCTCTGATTTCAGGAAAATGTCTAATTTTGTGGATGTGACACTTTACTCATGACACAAAATGTCATGTGCCACTAATCGATAGTGAGTATGTGTGTATGCACTCTCTGTGGTTGCAGCTGGCGTATACATAAGCTCTGCTGGGAAAGGGTTGGGAAACAGCTTGTGAGTCACAATGAATCCAGGAACAGGACTCTCTTCAACTTAACTACCAAACCTGAAAACACACACACATTCACTCACAACATACCCTGAGTTCATCCTGAGGTTCCTCCGGTAAATCCTCCTTCATCACTTTTGTCTGATTTGAATAACCTGAAAAAGGCAGTTGCATTTATTGTAATAACAGATGATAATGTGAGAGATTTTAGGGTTTAGAGAATGAGAGAGAAAGTCATGATTGAACAGCAGAAAAAGAGAGCAGTTTGAAGAATAGGCACAAGAAGTTGCACAAGCAGTTTCTCATGAACAAAGTGAGTTATGTTTGGCTTTAATCCATGACCCACATTCCATTTGATTTTATTCACCATCTCATTTTTTCATATACAAGAAACACAGAAAATACAGATCAGATTTGTTTAGGCCTAAAAAGAACAGATACATTTTGGCTTTGTGTTTGTCTTTCCAAAACTTTAAGGTGCTAAGTGGTTTTCCCCTAGATATGTTTTGATATCCTTCAAAGAACGTTTTTTTCTTTTCTCCCCGGGCTCATATGTGAAGTTTTTACAGTCCTTTGCGATCATTGCTTGAAGCCATGGCATACTGTGCAACATCAGCTGTTTTATGTCAGGCTGTATGATACAAATTGTAGCCATTACTTGGGTCCCAATTGTCCCATTGACAGCTTGTAGGAGCATTTAATTGGCTGATGGTAACACTCCTAGAGATCAAAGATTTTGCTTTATAACAAGATAAATCTTTTACAATCCTTAAAATCAATTTCAGGTGGCCAAATTGTGTAATGAGACCATAACTGTAGGGGTTTGATCAGAAGTAACAAATCAAACACTGGACTGAAGCGTGATTGCGAAATCTTTTACAATCCTTAAAATCAATTTCAGGTGGCCAAATTGTGTAATGAGACTATAACTGTAGGGGTTTGATCAGAAGTAACAAATCAAACACTGGACTGAAGCGTGATTGCAATAATTTTGATAGTAAGTAGTGATTGACTGTCTTTAATCTTCTATGTGTGTCTGTAGCGTTATCATCTTTTTTCCTTTTATCCTTTCCTTTCCACATGCTAGCTTTAACAGAGTGCGCGTATCGGCACGTTTTGCACTAATTCTGTTATTTTGGATATGGTGAATTGATGAAGCATGTTACGTAGTTGACCCAATCTGAAGTACTGACCCATTATAGCTGGGTTCCTCAAATCCGGCCCTGGAGGGCCACTGCCCTGTAGAGTTTAGCTCAAACCATGATCAAACTTACCCAACTGTAATTTTCTAGTAACTCTGAATTGATTAGCTTGCTCGGGTATCTTAAATCTGCAGGGCAGAGCCACCCCAGGACCGGCAATTTAGGAATTCTGCATTTTAAGCCATAAATGACATTGACATTTTATCTCTATTCTCAGCCTGGCTGCATTCAGCTCCTGAGTCTGTGTCAGAGAAGATAGCAGAGCAGGAAATGGAAACGGTGTCTGTTGCCAGCAGTGAGAGTTTTGCAGACCAGGGCTATGCAGCATCAGACGGCATGGCCGATGAGTCCATCCCAGTCTCTCCCTCTGAAAGGATACAGTCTGTGTCACCCGTGGATATCATGTCTTTAAACAGTGGCTCAGCTCTGCCTGCTAACCAGTCCAAAGACTCTTCCAGTGACAGCGATGAGGGTTGTGCAACCTGGGGCGCCAGACAAAGGTATGCAACTAACAAAAGCCTCTGGCACAGGCCTGTTCACACTAACCTAAATGTTCAACACAAAAATTTGGTCTGATTTTGCAGTTTCACTCAGTTGGTGGCGCACTGGCCGTTCTAGTGCAGCAGATCCTGCTTTGGGCAGAAATCAAATTGGTCTCCCTGAGGGCAGTTTACATTCTGGGGCATAAAAACTTGGGAGCAGACATCCTTTCTGACCCCAATGATGACCCCACCCACAGGTTGGTTAAGTCCATATGGCACAGGTCATGAAGTGAAGAGATAGCGGAAGTGAATTTACTTGCCTCTGATGAGTCAACCTACTGTTCCCTCTGGTCTTTCAACTGAGGTTGTTGAGATGATTTGGAAGATCTTTGAGTCATGGTGCAAACTGCGGCACTTGAACCCAGTCCACTGCCTAGTTGGTACAGTGCTGCAGCGCCTCTAAACAGGGTTATCCCTGCTATGCTTAAGGCAGAGATGGGCACTCAAGTTAGGGACTCGGGTCGCACTCAAGTCGCTTTTTAATAGACTTCAGATTCGACTCCAGACTCAACCTGAAATGACTTCAGACTTGACTCGATTCGACTTGTGAATATTTTAAACATATATCAATACACATATTTAACAATATTTTAAACTAAAACTACTGATATCATAAAGAAAGAACTTGGAATTTCCTTTTATGCTTTTACTATATCTGCATCACGTATTTCCTTGTTGATGTAGATGAGACTCTTATCATAGTATTTGATGACGTATGTCCGCGTATTGCACATACATTCCGTAAAGTCAGAAGGGAATGAAATTTGGCAGAAGCCACCGTGTGTGTTATATTAGTGTGTCAGAATCAGATGCAGTGAATGTGCGAAAACAATTAAAGATACCGGAATGACAGCATCAAATCTACGAACGCATTCACAAAGGTTATTAACATTAACTCACATATATGCTGCAGTGTGTCCTGTTAAAAACATGAATGAAAAATCTAGCCTTAAACCTAGCACGATGTTTTAGCAATCTTTTCGTAATATACCCAGATACGGCTTTTCTCTCTCTTAATGTATGAATGTGTGTGTGTTCAGGTTTGACTAATAATAATGCAAAAACTGACGCTTCAAATAAACATTTTGATAATCTCTAAACATGTATTCAGATGCAACACCTAATAAAAGTAATTATGTCTCTGTTTAACATTCTAATTGGTGCGCTTAATAACGTCTCGGGTTACTTTACAGTAGGGCTGCAACAAACGATTATTTTGATAATCGATTAATCTAACGATTATTGGAACAACTAATCGTCGATTATTTTGCTGATTAGTCAGTAGACATTTATTGATTATTCAGCTTTTGCAATTAGTTAAAATATTGAGTTATACATATTCATAACAAATAAATTAAGGTAATCACTTCAGCTTTTAAAAGTCATATTATGTAATTACAGTTATACAAATAAATATATTCGGCACACAAAATGAGATGGCAGAGAAACTCTCTCATTCACCATTTAATTAGCTAAATGAAAAAGTAGCTGATTGACACTTCATTCTGCCTACAATCTCTTTTTGTAAGTCATATGGATAAGAATAAAATAAAATAAAAGGTTAAGTGATAAGATGTTTTATTTTTGGATAAACTATTTTATTCACAACATAATCTCTCTTAAAATACCATATAGGGTTATGAATCAGAACAACAATCAAAACAGTCCTGAGCTAGATCAAGCTTTGATCTCTACAAACCAAACAAAATGTTTGATCTCTACAAAATAATGAAATGTTTTTTTTCCCACTAATAAAAAGATTTTATCATTTGCTAGCTCCACACTGGAGAGCTGCTTTATAACAGAAAATAGAGTTGTAATTCTAACTGAAAGTGACTCTGTTTTTTCATGTTTAATAATACTGTAAAGCTGCTTGATTTAAGGCTATCTATTGCATAACGTACTTTATAAATAAACGTGACGTGACTTTACTGAAGTACTGAACTGCAGAGCTCGTGCAAACATCCACATCGCTGTAATCAGATGCATTTTAAACTGCTGCTTTCTCACCGCTGTCAGTTTTTGATGTGTTTATTTTGTTATTGAGAGGAAAGTGCGCAGTATATATTTACATATTCATCCAAACGCCGCTCAGCAGCCTCAGGTTCGGCTGCATTTGCTCTGTCTGAAGCGCTGTCTTTTCTTCTCTTGAATTGCATCAGGAGAGGTGAATTAGTCTTGCGCTACAGCGCCACACTGGTCAAACCGCGTTATTGCAGGCTCTTACATTAGGTCATATGAGATCAAACGACTACTCGACAACAAAAATATTTGTCGACAATTTTTTTATTGTCGATAATGTCGACTAATCGTTTCAGCCCTACTTGACAGTAACCCTGTTCCCTGAAAAAGCGGGAATGAGATGCTGCGTTTCAGTAACGCAAATGAGAGCATTCTTTGTTCGACTGGTTGTGAAGCACGTGTGTCAAGCATGACAAGAATTGGCTTGACCCTCTGGGGTCTGAGGGTGTTTTGGGGTCCTGGAGAAGTTTTGACATGCCCTGACATTTGTGTTTTTTTTCAGTATCTTAAAAGCATATTAATGGCTAAAATCTGATAACACTGTATTCAGCACAATCTGGGCTACAATAATATGTGAGCAGCATGAATGTACATGTTTGTGTTTTTGAGAAAACAACGTTTATGTGTGGTTAGTGAAAAACTGAGAGTAAAATAATGTGGGTTTTTGATTATTATTTGTATTTTATTTACAATACAGTATACTAAAAATATACACAGTGAAGGTCAAGGACACATGATTGAACATACTGATCTGAACACTGAGATTTGAACAGTAACACACCTTTGTGCCAAACATTCCTAGACTAATAACATTCATTGTGTTAATACTACTTTTATATCTTGTGGTTTTAAATGTTATAAAGCATTAAACAAACATCCTGGTGTTGTGATACATTTAGACAATGAAATGACACATATTTCAAAATGTTTCACTTGATTTCATACATGTAGTCAGGAATTGTAGTTTAGGAAAAGTCTAATAGTAAAATGTGTACAAGTTATGTCACAATAACACAATAACAACAGATGCAAGTAATCTTAGGCTACTCATCAGAATGATATCCTCCACTGGATCTAGCTGCGCGATGCATCGCGTTGTGAGGTAAATTGTGGGTTATACCTCTCAGCGCGTCTTCTTCCAGAAACAAAAAGTAGCCAGGATGAACTCTTCACGTTTGTTTACGGATGATGTGGGCATTTACATGCGCGCGCATCTCACATGAATGTTTAGAATTTGAAAAGGGCGATCGGCTCATGGGCATGACTGCATTAGAGATAATGAGTTGAGACGGGAGAACTGGACATCGCGTTGGTTTCATACGGATTACTTAATCACAGAATATTTGTTTGGACGTAACTTACTTAATTTAAAAGTAGACATTTCAAGCTTTCTATACATATATTTCTGATGTCTTTGAGGCAAATATTCGCAGAGATTCAGGTTGTTTTATTTACTTGTCTGTGAAGAGAGGTGACAAAAACCGAGATGGCAGAGAACGCACCATGTTTATTTTCTTTATTTTACAAAAGCACATTGTGTTGTTGTTATTATGACTATGCACAAATAAAAGTAGACCCTTTGCAGTTTCAAACGATACCTTATTCTTATCTGTACGATCAAAAATTACGGAGTATTTTTTGTTCTTTTCGCGGTCATCAAGAAAATATGAGACAAACCGCACCAGTGCGGGCTTCGACCCCAGGGGGTTAAATAACCTCGGTGGGTGACGTCATTTGATTATGTGCACCTGGAGGGTTGTAAATAGATGTGAAACAGACACACCTTCAGGTTATACCTTTGTCTGAAGGGACGCCCAGGCACGCCTACAGTGCGGCATTGAGGTGCAGCATCTCATTCCCACTTTTTCAGGGAACAGGGTTACAGTCAAGTAACCCGAGACGTTCCCTATCAAAAGCTACTCTCAATGCTGCATTTCAATAACGCATATGGGAATGAGAATACCAACCCCGCCACACTGGAAGTGTCTGGACCCCTCAAGGTTGTGCACAAACATTGAAGAGGTCTCAGATATGACGTTGGGATGTTGACTCAAGGACATGCGAGCCTGGAGTAGCATGGACATCCAAACTATAGAATCTGATAAATGTGTGCGGGGAGGACCAGCCCGCCGCATCACACACTTGCTGCAAGGGGACACCTCTTGCTAAAGCCATAGAGGATGCAATCTCCCTGGTTTAATGGGCCCTAACTCCTAGAGGCAAAGCTTGACCACGCGCCTAGTAGGCTAGGGCAATAGCATCCCTCACCCAATGTGACATTGTTTTTCTCGTGGCAGCTGCCCCCCAGTTGTGGCCCCAATAGCATATGAAAAGCTGCTCCGACTTACACCACTGGCAAGTGCAATGGACGTAAATCTGAAGACCACATACTGGACACAGTAAGTGAAGTCTTTCCTGCTCTGATGTCGTAAACGGTGGAGGGCAGAAGGCTTCAAGAATTACCTGATTTAAGGTTGAGAATGGAATTTTGGGAAGATGATTAGGGTGAGGATGTAAAATATCTTTGACCAGTCCAGGGGCAAAGTCTAAGCAGAATGGCGAGACTGGCAGTGCCTGCAAATCCCCAATTTTCTTCAGAGAAGTAATAGCCATGAGAAAAAACATAGTTAGAGTCAGAAACCTGACAGGCGCTGACTCTAGTGGTTCGAAAGGGGCCCCCACCAGACCCTCAAGCACTAGAAGGACTGTCACTCTGGTGGGCGGCTTCAACCACTTAGCTCCACGAATGAAGCGGGAGACTAGAGGGTGCTTTCCCACAGAGACCCCATCAATCAGAGCATGGCAAGCCAAAATATAAAGGCTAAATAGTGTGGCCACATAGTCTCTGAGAGTACCAGGACATGTGCCTTTCGGCAGTTTATCTTGCAGGAACTCCAGTATTGATACAACTTTGCAGTGAACTGGATCTGCATGGT